AACAACCAAATCGACCACAACAACCACAACGACTGCAGCATCCACAGCAACCACAACAACCACAACGAGCACCAGAACCGATGCCCGCACCGATCACAATAACCGCAACAACCACAGCAACCGCAACGACCGCACCGACCGCAACAGCCACAAGAACCACAACGAGCACCACAACCATAACAACCACAGCATTCACAAACCACAATAGATTTTGGCGAACCGAAGGGCTGACATCCAGGCTGCTGTTGGCCGGCTTTAGGGTTGACTTTGAGTGGGTTTGGGGTGGCTTGGAGCCGATTTGTGTTAGGTGTGCTGCTGGTTTAGCAGCGGCTTTAGAGCTGCTTTAGGGTGTGGTTAAGAGAGTGTTGGTCGAGTAGCAGCCTGGATGTCAGCCCTTCGGTTCGCCTAAATCAACCCCAAACCACCCCAAGACCCACCCTCATGAAGATCTAAGCCAGCCAAAAGCCCCATAACTTAAACCAACCCCCAGCCACCCAGTCAACGGTGCCTTGGCATCCTTGTGCGTCATGGTTCCGTACTTGCCGTTGAGCAACACCGTGTCGCAGAGCCCTGCCATTCGCTGTGAGCGGTTCAGGCGCAAGCGCGATACAATTTTAGTTCAGTTTACGGCGCCTACGGCGCCATGGCCATGAAGTTGAGTAAGGCGGGACGTGACGGGTGCCGATGACACTTCATGCAGCTTGTGCAGCTTGGAGGGCAGTAAAAGGGAAACCTAAAGTCGAGAGCCAGTTTTGGGGTAGCCGCTTTTGGCCTGCAGGATTCCGGGAGCACTACAGCCTCCCAGGCCTCCCTGACACCCGGATCCAGCAGGAGCGCATGGATGGTGCAGCCGATCATGGCTGAACTTTTGCTTGTGCAGGAACGGTGCGGATGAAATTCAGGCACGAGCCTTTGCGCTTTGGGATGGACGGATAGGTCATTTGTGCGTGTGTGTGTGTGTGTGTGGTTTTTGAGGCTCGCACCCTTTGTTGGAGTGTTTCAAAGGGAAGCTGAAGGGCAGCCACTCATTTTGGAGGTCCAAGTCACCATGTTGACACATACCCATTCCAACAAATCTGATGCATTTGCCATTTGCAGGGGTTCCAGGGAGAGCCTTGGCCCTGATCTCAGGCCTTGAGGGTTCCCAGAGCACCTGCTGACAGGCATCGGGGTCCCGGCAGATTCAATCGGGTTTGCCTCAAAATCACGGCGGCCCCCAGGCAATTGGCGTTTTCCTTTTGGTTTCCCTTCAAAACCAAAGGGGGTGTCGTTTTGATTTGCCTTTAAAGCAAGCAACAGGGTACAAGTACCCACGCAAAAAAATAGTTTCAACCGCGTTTCCGAAACACGCCTCGTTTCCGAGACATGGAAGCCCCAATACAGACGGCTGTGACTGTAGTAAAGGGATGGCATTGGACACACTCACCAAATTGATGCTAGGAAATGGGTGCTTACCAAAATCCTATTTTGGGGGGGGAGAAATATTCAATATTGACAGGACTCACATGTCCATCACGCAAAACACATATTGCAGTGAGGGGTGGAGGTGTAGAGGTAGGTGCGGCGCGTCATTGCGCTGTCAGGGTGCCGGCGTCTGCAATGCACCTTGACCTGCAATTCCGGAGTATGTTCAGATTTGGCTATGCATTTCAGAGTTTGAACCGCTAATCACAAGTGGTTGGTGGACATGCGTGCATCCCCACCGAAGCTTGATGTTCTGCAACGGTTCAGGGATTCGCTCTCAGGACTGGCAACTTTCGCCGCCGCAAGTGCGCCTGTATAGGGCTATGGGGCTGGGGTCGGACTGGGCGTGTGGTTGAGTTTCTGCAGAGAGTGTCGTAGGCTAGTTAAGCTACACAATGGAAATTTATGTTTTGCAGTTTTTGTTGCGGGCCGGTGTGTGCAGGGTTCTCACACAGCTTCGGTCTTGTATGAGCTTGATTCAATGCATTGCAGGTACTGCCTTCCGCAGGAGTATGCAAGCCTCGAGGCTCGACTTCCGAAGAGTGAATATGCTACTGACACTTGTTCATTTTTTTAGTTTCGACAGGTGAACGCGGCAGCGCCCGTGGACTCAAGTGGTGCTTGGCTCAATGCGTTTGGTCATGTGTTTGGGCGTAGCAAGAACGCTGCAGACTCTTCGAGGATGTCTTGACGTAAGGCTGTTAGTAAGTCACTCAAGTCTGCAGACAAGTCAAGCGCGTGAAGCAGTCAAGAGCAGTCAAGGTGAGCAATTGCGTGCTCAGCGGGATCAGTTCATGCAGGCCGGGTGCAGAAGGTGAAAGTCATGGCATGCAAGAAAGGTCTCGAGGTTTTTGAGTTTTCTCTTGCTGCATTCTTGAATCTGACTCATTCAAAAGTTGGACCAATGTAAACCCGATGGAACCCTTGGTTCAACTCGCACACTGATGCTGCCAGTGCAGGTGACAATTGAGGGTACGATGCAGAAGCGTTCCTTTGGAATGTGGTGGACCTCTTACTGGCAGAGCACTCAGCTTGATAGCACGTCTTTGCGTTTTGCAGCAAGGACTTTTGGCAAGTTGTGAAGTGAATCGCCATTGCCCAAATTGACATGATTTGACGTTGTCAACCCCCCCCGCCATCCAAGAGCTTTCGAGTGATGTCGTGCCGGTAAGGGTTGTCGTGGACCAGACTGCAATTCGCTTCTATGAGAATGAGCAGGCGCAAGCCTTTATAAGTCAGACAAGCTTACATTGTGGATCCTCCTGCCCGAGTGCCGTTTGCAAATCTTGTTTTTTACGCCCGAAGGGGGCGTAATTCTGTCGAAACGTGACACTTGCCTCTAGTTTGCCTTGCGCTTTGGGCCAGTTGGGAGTTAACTCATGACTTTGTGGCACCGGAGCCAGACGCCAGGCCTCCATTTCCAGGCCCAACCATCCGGAGGAGGAGATCGCAGCGAGCACAGATTGAAGAGAGCGTGATGTGCTTCTCAAAATAGCGGACCCTTGGCATGTGGACGGCAAACCCATGGTAGCAGGGTCTTCGGAGAGGTTTCTGCCTATTCTACTAAAACGTAGATATGTGACATGTGTTACTTTGTTCGTTTCAATCCATATATATATATATATATATATGTATATGTATGTATATATATATAATTATATACGTACAGGCATATATACACCCGCAGGCGCCTACATACATATGTTGCATTTCAACCTTAAGATCTTGAGACTTCAGTGGAGCCATGCATCTGCACTTTTGGGGGGCAATCCAAGCCATCCATCGCGTCGCGATCGATTTGAGGGTACATCGAGCAAAGTGATTCGAGCCAAGTGATGCTCCCTTGCTCGGGGATCATTTTTTAAGGTATGTAGTTTTTGGTTTCTTTTTTTTCAACTTGTGGCTTCTGGCTTCTTGACTTTTGGGCTTTTGGACTTTTTGGCTTTTTGGCTTCTCGGCTTCTTGTCACTGGGCTGCCTGCCGCTAAAGAGATAATGCACCCTTTGCTGAATCATCACTTTTTCGAACATCATTGATGGGGGAAGGGGGAGCCTAAACCAGCCAAAAGACTGCTATTTACAGCATTGTGCTTTCCCACACGAAAAACGACAAACACCAAATCCCCCGCCCCCCCCCCCAAAAAAAAAAAAAAAAAAAACATAAATTAAAAAAAACAAAAAAAAACGAGACATCCACAAATAAATCCGCACCGATTTCTTATGTCCGGTCATTTTCCGTTTTTGTAAGGTTTGCAGGTTGCGCACAGACCGACTTACTCTGGGGAAGATCATTTTGGCAAGCACAAAGTTTAGACTTTCTTCGATCTCAGTCGACTCAACCCATTGAATTTCCGGGTATGGTTTCCCATTTGGCTTCTTTGCCTCAGGCCCTGCCTTTATTGCCGGAGCTATCGATGTGCCATTCTGAGAGGGTGGCATGGGGTTGCGGGGGCGGGGGGGGGGGGAGGGACTTTGCACCTGGGATTCGTCTATTGAAGTGTGTATGTGTGTGTGTGTCACTATTTGTATGTCAAAGGAAAGAGTGTCAAGGTTGAGTTGGGTCTGTTTCAAAATAGGGATTCGGACTCCGCAAAATGGTGGTTTTCCTTTTGTTTTCCCTTCAAACCAAAGGTAACAAGGGAAGCCGCAAAGACGCACACACCCACATTGCCGTAGTCATGTTCTGCTGGCATGCCTCAGATGTCCGCTCTCTCGGCATTTGTTGTCCGAGGGAAAACCCCTCGTGGGTGATTTGCCGTAATGCCCAGACCAAGCGCAAGGCAGGGCACAGTTCTTCGCAACGCACGAAATTCCAAGCAGCACTTTTTTTTTTTTAATCAGAGGCTCAATTCAAAGGGGGCCCAAACCACTTGTAGGGTTCCCTTTTTCACACTTTTGGGGACAACCCATCATTCTTTGGCCATCGCTCTTAAGCTGTTCTTAAAGGCTCTTGGAACTTCCGGCAGGTCCTACACCTTCGCAGCTGGCGCGGGCCTCAGGCCCTGCCAGGCTCAACATTGCGGACAGAAGCTCCACTCGTTCAGTGCCTCAGCTCCCGAGGTCTGACCCGGCTTGCTGGGAAGATGTGGCCACCGCCCGCCTTTGGCCCGCACCCCGGGGCGAAAACCGAACACGACTGCTTGTGGACGGAGTGGTCGCAGACACATGTGGGTTGATCAAAGGTCCTTTACATGTGGTGACCATTGGGGAAACCAGCAAACAAGATGACTTTCACCACCAAATGGAAAAGGTACCCATGTTCATTTGAGGGCCGAAGGGAATATTGATCAACCCCCACATCAAAAACTGAGTGCAAATCGCATGCTAGGTGCTGGGCCCTTTCCGAGCGCCCGGACTCCCAGCTCACCACAACAATGCTAATGCGACTCAAGGATCAAATCATTCCTACAAATAAGTCAAATAGATAAAGATAAGATGATCATCATGACCTGCGCGTTGTTTTGATGCTGGCCAGGGAATCCCAGAGTTCAAGTTTTGCCTGAGAGAGGCGACGAAGAAGCTCGCTCCTCCCAATGA